ATAAAGACATTCCCAAATACAGAAAGACTGGGAGGGTTTATTGCTAGCAGAATTGCCTTACAAGAAATACCACAGGAATTCCTTCAGGGTGGAAAGAAATGACGCCAGGTAGTAACGTAAGTCCAAGGAGGAAATGAGGAACACTGAAAATTGTAGATATGAGTTCATAGAAAATACACTCTATATATATATAATATATATATATACACCTACATGCAATTTTATCTTTTAAATAAAATATATATATACACACATATATATACACATTGTCTATTACTAAATTGTCTGTTTTTCCTTTCAATTCAGTTCAATTTTGTTTCCTATATTTTGAGGCCATTAGTGCATGTACATTTGTAATTGTTACAGCTACTCATGTACTATCACTATGAAACATTTGTCAGTCCCTATCTTACTATTAAGATAGATAGTAGATCTGCCTTAATACCCATTTTGTCTGATATTTAATATTGCCACTCCAGCTCTTCTGTGGTTACTGTTGGTATGGTTTATCCTTTTCCATCCTTTGTCTTTCAATCTGTTCGTGTTTTTTAATTTAAGGTGTGTCTCTCACACACAGAAGATCCAGCTTAACGGAATCGGTCTTTGGTTTGGCATGCTTAGATATTCACTTTATTGACATGGTGGGTTTATATTTGCTATTTTGCTACTTGTTCTAGATTTACTGTCTTATTTGTTCTTCCTTTACTGCCTTCTTTTTCTTCCTTTACTGCTTTTGCTGTACCATTTAGTTCCTCTACTAATTTTCTTTTTTGTTTTTAGGGTTTCTTTTTTATTTTAGTGGTTGCTACAATATGCATCTTATCACTTAATACATCACTTATCTTATAAGATCATTTACTTCAAAATAATAGTAACTTTAATTTAGCAAAAGGTAGAAACTTTGCTCCACCATAGTCCCCTTCCTTTGTCTATTATTGTCATAAATATTTAGATATTGCTTCTATATGTGTTAAACCCAATAGCATGGTTTTGTAATTCTTGCTATATGCAATTTTATGTCTTTTAAATAAAAAAAGTACATGTATATATATACATGCAATTTTGTCTTTTCAATAAAATATATATACACATACATATATACATACATTTTGTCTTTTAAATAAAATATATATACACATACACATATATACATATATATGTATGTATACATATACATTTGTATGTGTGTATTTAAAAGACAAAATTGCATTTTTATATTTTATTTAAAAGTCGTAAAATTGCATGTGTATATATACATGTATATATATTATTTAAAAGACATAAAATTGCATGTAGCAACAATTATAAAATCATGCTACTGGGTTTAGCACACATAGAAGCAATATCTAAATATTTATGACGATAATAGACAAAGGAAGGGGGCTATGGTGGAGCAAAGTTTCTGCCTTTTGCTAAATTAAAGTTACTACTGTTTTGAAGTAGATAAATGATCTTATAAGTGATATATTAAGTGATAAGATACATATTGTAGGGATACAGCAACCACTAAAAAAAAAAAAAAAATCCTAAAAACAAAAAAGAAAGTAGAGAAACTAAAATGGTACAGCAAAAAGCATTTAACACAAAAGAAGGCAGTAAAGGAAGAACAAATAAGACAGTAAATCTAGAAAACAAGTCGCAAAATAGCAAATATAAACCCACCATGTCAATAAAGTGAATATGTAAACATGCCAAACCAAAGGCAAATTCCATTAAGTTGGATCTTCTGTGTGTGAGAGACACACCTTAAATTAAAAAACGCGAACAGATTGAAAGACAAAGGATGGAAAAGGATAAACCATACCAACAGTAACCACAGAAGAGCTGGAGTGGCAATATTAAATATCAGACAAAATGGGTATTAAGATAGATTTACTAGGGACTGACAAATGTTTCATAGTGATAGTACATGGGTAGCTGTAACAATTACAAATGTATATGCACTAATAATGGCCTTAAAATGTAGGAAACAAAATTGAACTGAATTGAAAGGAAAAGCAGACAATTTAGCAATAGTAAGTGGAGGCTCAATACTCCATTCTCCATGGTTTATAGAAACCTAGCAAGGACATTGAAGACTCGAACAAGCTGTAACTGACATGTATAGAACACTTCACCCAGTGACTGCAGAACACACATTCTTATCAAGTACACACGAAACAATCTCCAAGAAAGATCACATGCTAGGCCATAAAACAAGTTTTAGCATTTAAAGGGATTGAATTCATACAAGGTATTCTGAATTACATTGTACACTGATTATAATCACCATAACAATCAAAGTAGAAATCAACAATAGGAGGAGATCTGCTAAATCCACAAATATTTGAAAATTAAACCGTATGCTTCTAAGTTTTGTATGAGTTAAAGAAGAAATATCAAGAAAAACTAAAAAAAGTTTTGAATGGAACGAAAAGGAAAACACAATATATCAAAATGTATAGGATGCAGCTAAATCAATTCTTGAGGGAAATTTATGGCTTTAAATGACTATATCAGGGAAAAAAAAGGAAGGTTTCAAATCACAATCTTAGCTTGCACCGTAAGAAACAATGAAACAAAGCTAGATGTGGTTGTGTGCTCCTGTAGTCCCAGCTACTTAGGAGGCTGAGGTGTGAGGATCACTTGAGTTCAGGAGTTCAAGACCAGCCTGGGCAACATGGTAAGACCCTGTCTCTACATTTAAAAAAAGAAAGAAACTATGAAAAGAAGCTGTAAAAAACAAAGTAAATCCAAAGGAAGCAGAAATCAGTAAGATAGAGAACAGAAGAATAAGAGAAAAATTAAAACCACAAGGGTAGTTCTTTGCAAAGATCAGCAAAATTGGGAAACCTTTAGCTGGTTCCAAACTGTGCATAAAAAGGCAAAGGACCTATAATGTCCAAAACAATTTTGCAAGAGAACAAAGTTGGAGGACTTACGCTACCTGATTTCCACACTAACTGTAAAGCCACCATAGTTTTAAGACCACAGTGTTTTTCTAACAAATGGCACTGGGAAATTGAATATACACATGCTACAAACAAAATGAACTTAGACCCTTCATATTATTTGCAGAAGTTAACTCAAAATAGATCATATATTTGTATATAAGAGTTAAAGCCATAACAATTGTAGAAGAAAACAAAGGAGAAAATCTTTGGTGTTGGGTTAGGCAAAGAAGTATTAGATGTGATACCAAAAGCGTGGTCCATAAAAGGAAAAGTTGATAAAGTAGATTTCCTTAAAATTAAAAACTTGTGTATTCAAAAGCCACCATTAAGAAATTGAAGACAATAGGGCAGGTGTGGTGGCTTATGCCTGTAATCACAGCACTTTGGGAGGCCATGGTAGGAGAACCTCTTGAGCCCAGAAGTTTGCGACTAGCCTTGACAACATAGTGAGACCCCACCTCTATGAATAAATAATAAAAATATAAAAATTTTAAAGAAGGAAAATGAAGACAAGTCACAGACTGGGAGAAAATAGTTGCAAATCATTTATCTGATAAGGGACTTATATTCAGAATATATAAAGAACTCTTGTAATTCAGTAAGACAGACAATTCAGTTTTAAAATGGGCGGAAAGTTAGATATTTCACCCAGAAAGCTATTTGAATGGCTAACGAGCACATGAAAAGATGCTCAACATTATTAGTTGTTAGGGGATATAAATTAAAACCATAATAAGATACTACTAATATCAAGAGAAGGGCTGTTATCAAAATGACAGTACCAAGAGCTGAGGATGTAGAGAAACTGAAATCCTCAAACTTAAATGTTTGTGGGAATGTAAGATGGTACAACTACTTTAGAAAAGTTTGGAAATTTTATAAAAAGTTAAACATAAGCTCATTCTGTGACCCAGCAATTCTACTTCTAGGACTGTAACCAAGAAAAATGAAAATATATGTCTACACAAAGACATGTACATGAATGTTAATAGCAGCATTATTCATTATAGCCCCAAACTGGGAAGTCCAAGTATCTAAAAACTAGTGAATGGATTAATGAAATGTGGTACATCTAAACAATGGAATACTAAGAAAAAGGAGCGGACTGTTGATACTTGATACAATGTGGATGGATCTCAGAAACATAATGATGAGTGAAAGAAGGCAGCAGCAAAAGACTACATATTTTATGATTTCAATTATATGAAATGTTCAGAAAGGGCAACTTTATAGAGAAAAAAGGCAGGTCAGTGGTTGCTGAGGGCTGGGGATGGGAGTGGGGATTAACTATAGATGGCATGAGGAAGCTTTTTAGGGTAATCAAAATGTTCTAAAACTGGATTGTGGTGCTAGTTGCACAACTCAAAATTTACTAAAAGTCTTCAGATTGTACACTTTATAAGGGGTGAATTTTATGCTATATAAATTATCCCTCAGTAAAGTTAACACAAAAATTTGACATTATTAAACCACAAAATTTTTTTACGTATTTTACACTCGTGTCCTATTTCTGAAGAAACCAAAACTTGTTTCATTCATTAGATTAAATTATTTCCTTTGTGTCAACTATGCCAAAAACTAGTAATTTTGGAATACTAAAAAGCATATTCACACTTAGGTAAAGTTTAGTCTCAACACATACATAGTTCATTAGGGATCGAAAGATTTACTGTGCTTCCCAAATTTCTAATCATGGAGGAAGTAACTGGCTATCTCAGAATCTAGTGCAGTATCTAATTAATGTCATGGTGTACTTTTGGGGTAGGAAATTGATAGGTATAGCTATCCTGTTATGCTCTATAAGGATGAGGGAAACAAAGGAAGTTACTCAAGGCCATGTTTCCCATCAGTTGAAAAGCCATAAACTCAGTTCAGGTGTCTCTCACACCCCACAGCTAGAGTGGTATTAGATATAGCTCCCTTTCAAGAAAACATGGTCACTTGGGTATTAATCAAGACTTTGTTACCAGGGTTGAATTTAGAAGTTGTTTCCTTTCAAATACTGGTTTTCCTTTGATTTGCCAGTTGGATTCCTGTTACTCACTAAATCTGTCTTTTTTTTTTTAGCTCTTGCAGTTCAATCCTCTGGAACGACTTGGTGCTGGAGTTGCTGGTGTTGAAGATATCAAATCTCATCCATTCTTTACCCCTGTGGATTGGGCAGAACTGATGAGATGAATGTAATGCAGGGTTAGCTTCACACATTCTGAGCACCTCCGTGACAGGCATCTCCAGCACTGAGGCACCTCTGCCTCACAGTCACTTATGGAGCACCAAAGCATTTGGATAAAGACCGTTATAGGAAATGGGGGGGGTGGGGGGAATGACTGAAAGAGAACAATTTGTTTACAATTACAAGATATTAGCTGATTTTACCAGGGGCTGTTATATACATATCTGCAACCAAGGTGTGATCTGAATTTAGTCCACATTCGGTGTTGCAGATGAGTTGTAAAGCCAACCGAAAGAGTTCCTTCAAGAAATTCTTCTGATAGGAAGCTGTAAGTGTGGAATGAAGTTTTACTTGAAAGGACCTTTACGTGGCAGCTAACAGTGCTTTTTGCTGACCAGGATTGGTTTATATGATTAAATTAATATTTACTTAATAATACACTAAAAGTACTTCATGAACAGCGTCATCAGCGCAACTTAAAAGTGAGAAAAATAGGATATACATATAATTTCTGACGGAAAACCTGTACCCTGATGCTGTATAATTAATGTATGTTGAATGTGGTCCCAGATTATTTCTGTGGGAAGACACTCCATGTTGTCAGCTTTGTACTCTTGGTTGGTACTGCTTATTTAGAGAAGGGTTCATATAAACACTCTGTGTCTTCAACAGCATCTTTCTTTCCCCGTCTTTCCATTTTCTGCACCCTCTGCTTGTTCCCTTATATTCTGTTCTTCTGTCTCCTGCTAACACACATGCAACAAAAAAGGGAAGGAAGTGCTTATTTCCCCAGATTGTGTAAGGACTAAGAAATCATGATGTCAAATAAACATGGTGAAACATTAGATCTCTTCTTCATTTAATAACCCTCCCCCCTTGTTTTTCTTAAAGAAATGCCTCCGTTCCTTTCCTTGTGAAATATTATCAGTTTCTACCATTGCTTCTCATGCTTGACTTTATTTTACTTTTTGGCTTGGTATACTAAGAAGCAAAGGATCTCATCTAAATGGAATTGAATGGCAGTCCTAGTTTGTTACTTTGGTGATGAGATTTTCAGATTTGAACTAATCTATTTGACATGATTGTAGAAAGAATGTAAGTATTCACGCATCTCCAAACATTTGTATTTGTTACTTCTTTTTGTTGCTAAGGTAGCTCCTGTAGTTATACATTGTTGCAAAAATTTACAAATGTTTTACAAGTGTTAACATCTGTTTTTTTTTTTAAACTTTAGCCAAAGAAGAAGTCACTATTTCCAAGTTAGAAACCGCCAGAAATAACTGAAATTTTCGATATGTTCTAATCTTCTTTGTATTTTTGAGATCTGTGTGAGAACCCACCCCCAACTCCAGGAGCATCTGTACAGCTTCCATCTGCCATCGACCAGGTCCTCTCATCAAATTAAATGGAACAGAAAATGCTCTAGTGAAACAAAGGAAATGTGCAAGCATTTTTCCTTTTTCTATTATTCTATTTCCCTTTTTCCTTTTTGGCCCCCTTATAATCCAAGCCCCAGCTGAAAGGCTGCAACAACACCAGGTTGGGGAGCAGGTCACCAGGATCATAGTTCAGTCAAGATGACATCACTCTCTGGAACTAGATTTCAACTCACTAGTCCCCTGGCCTCATAACAGGAACTTATGCAGGTGAGACACAAGAATGACTTCCTGTGTAGGACTAGTAGGAAATCTGCAAGTACTTAGAGCTGGCCATTACAGAACTTCCTTCCAGAAGTGCCCTGTGACATGAAAGTAGGACTTCACAACTAAGATGAAGATCCCTACCCTACCACATGATTTGAGTCTCTTGGATTCAAAGAAAATTAATGTCAACAGATGGTTGCCATGTCAGTCTGTTGACAATTCCATTGCTTCAGTTTCTCCCCCTTTCTCTCTGTATGTTTGGTTGGAGCTTGTGCTTAATGTAAATACATCATTCATAATTAGAATGGACATGAATTATTTTAGTAATAAACACAGGATAAATGACTTTGGGGTGATGAACCAGTCTGTTTTTATTTGATGATGTGTACATATTTTAAGCTGTAATTCTGTGATTGGTACTGATTTTTATGGTTGGTTTTTTTATATTTTGTTTAAGTAGAGGAGTGGAATGTGGGGTCAAAATCATACAAGAAGTTGCCATGAGTATTTCTTATTTGATTTTTTTATTGTGGTAAAATATACATAACAGTCACCATTTTAACCATTTAAAAATATACACTTCAGTAGTGGCATTAAGTACATTCACATTTTTGTGCGAGATCACCACTATCCATCTCCAGGACTTTTTCATCACCTCAAATGGAAACTCTGTACCCACTAAACAATAACTCCTCCCCATTCCACACTCCAGCTCCTAGCAACCACTATTCTACTTTCTGTCTCTATGAATTTAAATGTGACTATTCTAGGTATTTCATATAAGCAGAATCGTACAGTATTTGTTTTTTTGTCCTGGCTTATTTCACTCAGCAAAAAGTTTTCAAGGTTCGTCCATGCTGTAGTATTTATCAGAATTTCCTCCCTTTTAAGGCTGAATAATATTCCATTGTATGTATTACACATTTTGTTTAGCCATTCATCTGTCAATAGATAATTTGGATTTTTTCTACCTTTTGGCTGTTGTGAATAATGCCACTATGAATATTGATGTACAGATATTTGTCTGAGTCTCTGTTTTCTGTCATTCAATTTTTTGTTTTATTTTTATATGAAATTACCAATATCATTCACTATTATTCTACCGTGATCTTTATAGAAGGGTTTTTCCAGATAGATTGCAAATACCATTATGGTGCAGTGCCACTTATTCTAAGATATAGTATAAAAATCTACTGTTTCTATGTCAAAGATGGATAAGTTAAGCTTCCCAAGAGTGAAAAGAATGTCATCATTTTAGCAATTTAACTGTGACACGAAATAATACTATTTGAGACATGGACCTTTTCAAATTACTTGTTATAATAACGTTTTTTTTAAATTTGACGAAGAAGAGTTATGTATATTTATGGGGTACAATGTGATATTTCTATACATGTATACATTGTAGAATGATCAAATCAGGCTAATTAACTTATCTATCACCTCAAATACTTATCATTTTTTTGTGGTGAGAACATTTAAAATCCACTCTTTTAGCTATTTTGAAATATACAATACATCGTTAACTGTAGTCACCATGCTATGCAATAGATTGCCAGAACCTGTTCTTCCTGCCTAACTGAAACTTTTACCCTTTGACCAGCGTCTCCCCTTAGTTCATTCTCCCCTGGCCCCCAGCCTCTGGTGACCACCATTTTACTTTCTACTTCTATTAATTAACTGAACTGTTGATAATATATTTAAACCTATCTTTTAAACAGCTACAATACCTATTGTGTTTTGACCTTCATGCTTTTCCTGTCTTCACTTACTTCAAGGTCAGTGTGAACCAAGATTGACCTTTGCTTTCAAATGGTGCATGTACTGAAAAGCATAAAATGTATAGATAATACTCATGCTATAACCAGTAACACTATATTAGAGCTCCACATCTAGTATGCCTTGATTGAATTCACTTGCCCACAAGTTTGGAATCCAAATAGAAAGAGGTCTGACTAGAGCCCCGAGATTCTGCCTCCCAAGGGCTCCCCAGAGCATATTTATTGGAATCACTTAGGGATCTCTTTCTAGTAAAGGCGAAAGCATAAAACTGATCATCTTTTTTCCTTAGAGGAGTTGATTTAAACTCTGGTATATCTAAATGGTCTGGGCAATGGAGCCTGGAATTTATTTCAAGCTCTGTCTTCGAGAATTGTGCAGTAATGCAAAGTCTTAGAGTGGTGTCCTGGTCATGTCTCTGTGACTGATTAGCCATAGAACCTTAATCAAATAACCCTCTCCTGGACCTGTTCCCTCACTTGTAGAATGAATGGGTAGATGAGTTCTAAGCTCTCCATGTATGTGATGGATTTTCGGTTTTTCAGAGAGAGCTAATTTGATAAAACAACATTATAGGAAAGGCAAGGTTAATGAAAATCTTGAATTGGTACTTAACTGTTTTCTTATTGTTTTTCTAGTAATCCCAGATGCTTGGGTTGCTGCCGTACACCTGCTCAGTAGCATAGCCCTTGGCGGTTATATGGTTATAAAAATTGTATAAAAAATGAGATATTAAAAGGTTATTTCTCATTCAGTTCTACACTGGAAAAGGAGAGTTGAAGGTCCAGATAGCAGTACATAGAGGTGAAAGGAGGTGAGGGCCACACCTACATTTGCCTATTTCCTAGACCTTTCTCAGTAACTATGGTAGTATTCGTACACCTGTTGCCCTCATCTATCATATTTTGTGTGTTTATTTGACTCAGTCCTTTGGCAGGCATAATCAGCGTAAAAAATGGATACTTTCTGTTCCTATTTAATGCAGAACATTAACCTCTACCAGTCTAGGTAATTTAGATTTTTGATTATTTTATGTCCACTAGGCTCATTTTAAGGATTTCATATTAAGCCCTCATATTGAAGGGTTACTGAATGGCAGAAGCTGTGAAGTCAGCTATTTCTACATAAAGTTATAAACAGAATAGCAGCAGGGAAATGGAAAGCAAAGTACTACAAGTTTTTGTGACTCAGCATCACTTACTCTCTCAAGGACAGTAAATAGGAAACCGGAGAGCAAGCTTCCTTTTTGGTAAGATTTATGATCCTGGTGGTGATAATGTAGTCAGATGGTATGGCCTTGTATTTTTGGTCCCTATCACATGATTTCCCCCCTTGATCTAGCTGTCTCATCCCAGGGAGGAATGGAGGCAGAGAGAATTTGTGGCGGTGTAAGAAAGAAAGTAACCTGAGTGAGTAAGTTGGGCCAGGGAGATGCAGCACAGCACTTGGCAGGCATGTTGGCCTAGGTACCTGCAGCAATAGAGAACCTTCTTTGTTGATCTGGATTTAAAGTCTAATTCTTTGTTCTTCCCCAAGGAAGAGTGAGGCAAAAACTGAAACTATTTCTACTATCCCAGGAAAAGAGATGGCCAACCTGCCTTTTAGGAAAGAATTAATTGACGTGCTTATCCTAAGTCAGTTCTATCTCCCTCTCCTTGCTAAAGACAGCTGGTACAACTGGCAGTTAAGGCAGAGGCCATGAGTGTTTGCAGAGGGCTGCTGTGATTTCTTTTGGGCAGGAATGCCTCTTGATGTGGTAGGAAAGAATGACAAATGAGCCAGCTTTGAGGCACATTTAGAATTGCTGGCATGTTGTTTTTGTAAATCTCAAATTGAAACATATCAAAAATTTCATGTCAACTCTGTTGATCAAATTCTTCCTAAAGCTGGGTGCAGTGGCTCACGCCTGAAATCCCAGCACTTTGAGAGGCCAAGTCAGGCGAATTGTTTGAGTCCAGGAGTTTGAGGTCAGCCTGGGCAACATGATGAGACCCTGTCTCTACAAAGGATACAAAAATTAGCTTGGGCACAGTGGCGTGAACCTGTAGTCCCAGATACTTGGGAGGCTGAGGTGGGAGAATTGCTTGAGCCCAGGAGGTCAAGGCTGCAGTGAACCATGATCACACCACTGTACTGGGCAAAAGAGTGCAACCCAGACTTTAAAAAAATAAAATAAATAAAAATAAAAAATCTTCCTAAAGTTTGGGTATTTGGTTAGGAATCCACAAGACAGATGTTTGATTAACCCCACCAAGAGGCACATGTCAAAAGGGACTGTAGAAGAATTTCAGCCTGTTTCAGTGCCAATATGACTGAACTGTGTTGTTGCCCTTTTCATGTGGGATATGCATATAAAATTGATCCAATGGAAAACAAGAAGAAAAGGAGAGGTAATGTTTGCAAGACATTTAAGATAATTTGTAGAACACTTGAGTCTCTCAGGATTGTCATAGGAAGAAAATGTGTTAGATATTTGAAGGGTCTGTCTTTAGCAAAAGGATTCTAAATGACTAAGAAAACTTCTTTAAAATTGAACTCTTCCCCCGACCGTGTGCTTCTACTGCTCTCTCATTTCTTCTTTCTCTCTTCATCCCCTCTTCATCCACCCCTCCCTCCCATTATGGGCTTCTCTGGTCTCTGAACAAAAGATATGGCACCTGCCTTCAAGGATCTTATAAAACACAGGGGAAAGAAAGAAACATAAATAATAAGTAGGGCAGAATGTGGCAAGTGTTATAAAGTACAACTGGAGTATGGTGAGCATACAAAGGAGAGATCTGAGGAGCTGCAGGAAGCCTTCCTGTATAGGAGCAGGACCTTGAAGTGTAGATAGGATTTTTAAACATAAGAATTTTTTTTCCTTTTTTTATATTTTGTTTGGAGAGAAGGAAAGTTCTCGGGGGGACAAAAAGACTGTTGTGTATAAAGGCATGGAGATGGGAAAATGGAAAACTGTACGTATTCTGTTTTGGCTGGTTCGTAGATAACGTGAATTGAAAAGGTAGGTTGGGGCCAGGTTAAATGCCATGCTGAGACATTTGGACTTCATTCTCTAGGTTGTGGGGAACTAGTGAAGGTTCTTGGAGAGCTGGCATTATTGCAGCGTACAGTTAAAGAGATAATTTTAGCGTTAAAATGGAGAATAAATTGGAGAAAGAGAGATTAGAGGCAGGGAAAGCAGTTTGGAGTTACTGCAGAAATTCAGGCAAGAGATAAAGTCCGGAGTTAAGGTGGTAGAATATAAATGAGAGGGTACTTAATCATACTCGTCTATTTCTCTCAAGTGTATGGAGGTAGAGTATTCCTATCAAATAATTGCTTTCCCTTTTTCTTGAAGTCAGTTTATACTGGGAGATTATGGACTGCGGTTTGTAAAATCACCCCCAAGGAATCACCAGAGAGAGACAAACCAGGAAAGCTTATAACACTTTTCCGCCCATTGGTTGATAATGATATTCACTATTCAGAGCTTAAAACCCCTGGGTCCCAACTCACTCTTTGATCATTTTGTGGCACTTTTTCCCACATTTTGCTTTAAATAGTTGGTTTGCTTTCTATTTGGATAG